TTTTTTAATTTATTTTTAGATTTTGCCACCCCCAAATGGCTATTTATTTTTTTCCCCCCATATCCAACCTGTGGAAAGGGAGCGGGGAGCAAAGGGTACACAAAAGGCCTAGGGAAATAAAGGGGGGCCCCAAAAATTAACAGGAATACATATGGATTTATATCTACATATCTATTAAATTCACTTACTTTTTACCCAAACAAATTTAGGAAATTTGGTTTAAAAATCTGGTATCTTATTTTCCTTAATAAGAATCCCCTTTACATGTCACATAGGTTTTTTTATACGTCTGTCTCGTATCCCCCAAAAAAGTGGGCAATTAAGGGACATAGTGTTCAAAAGAGTGACCATTTTCCCGATCACTTTAATTTTCATTTTGTTTGATCATCATCTTGTGTCTCCCAAACTGCCAAAGTACTTGTAACCAAGCCTAAGCCCGGCCACTACAAAAAACCCTCAGTCTGTTTTACAAATTTTTAAATTGCTCCATAAAAAATTTCTTAAACTACGTTCCCTGTTAAACATAGTGGGTTAAGGGTCTACTCAGGCTTTTAAATGCATTCCTATAACAATCATTTTTCAAATTTTTTAAATTTTTCTCCTAATATTAAAACCCAAAATTTATTCTTTCAATTTTTTTCCCTTTTCGATACTCTTCTTGGGTAACATTTTCCAAAATTTATCATGGGGGAGTAATTCCCAAAGTGTGAGGGATCCTTTGCAATTTTTACATTAATTTTCCTTTGGGCCCTAATTTTTGAGTATCTATACCCCGGCCCTTCCCCCCAAACATGTTTTTGGATCATTATATGAGCCAAGAGCCCTTTAATGGGGACAAATCATAATGAAAGATAGTCAAGTCAATGTCAAAAGGTTAGCTTTAGCGCCATTAGGGTTGCAAACAATTCGTTTTTGGGAGTGTAGAAAAACCCAGTTGGGTAAAATTTTTTATGGGGCCCAACCCCAAAAAAATTTTTTTACATTCTTAACAAGGGGGGGTTTGGGAACAAAAGCGATGCAGCCCCGCCAAAGACTCCTTTTAGATCCATCAGTGTAAAATAACTTTATAACTTGTTTTTCTACCACTAGGGGAGAAATTTTTTTCTGAGCAGTTGCTCTAACAAGAGATTTAAGGAAGGGATTACTAGCAATGAGCTTTTTGGGAGGGGCTTGTAGGGATGGATATTAAATAACAAATTTTTCCATGGGGGGGTGAAAAAGGGTCCTTTTTGCCTAAAGAAACAGTTCATGCAAAGGGTTTTAAAACTTTAAAGCAATTGCACGTTTTCACAATCCCCTTTAGATCTGTGTGATTTTCCTCTAGACCTTTGGGAAGATTCACTGTGAAAAGTGCTGGTTTTGTTTCCAACATTCCAAAAACCGAGTACAGGGGTTAATTTCAACAAATCCTAACACGATACTAGAAAAACCAAGCCCCCTTTCCCCATGTTAAGAATTTGGATCTGGGAAAAGCCAAGAATAATCCGAAGAACTTTTATTTTGGGATTTTTAAATCCAAGGGTCGGAGAGAACTTTCCCCTTTGCTAATATCAACGGGGGCAGCAAAAACAATTAAGGCCTAACAAAAAGGGTATTTTTCATCAATTTTCAAAGATTTTTCACATTTGCACCCTATTGGGATTGTAGCCAGGGAACAGCTTTGAGAGCAAATTTAAAACCTAGCTTTTAATTTTTTTTTAGTTGTGGTAATGGATTTGTTTAAAAGGGTTTCATCCCACACCAAGATATCGTAAGTTTTTAAAAGAGCTAATGATTTTCACCCTGCAAATAATGGGTGGGGGAGTTCGTTTGCTTGTTTAAATCTTAGTTTTAGAGGAAGATATTATGAGGCCCCCAGTCGATTACAAATTGCTTGAACTTCATTAAGAAAAGGTTTCCCCTCATCTTTTGCCCTGTTGTTTTGGATCTGATATCATCACATGCTTATAGCTATATTTTTAGTTTAGGGAGGTTTGAGCATTTTGGAAGCATTAATCAAAAATTTAAAAAGCATGGGACTAAAACTACCCCCCTGCGGGGTACCTAAAGAAAATTTTCTTTAGAATCACTTTTTGAAGCCTTGGTAAAGGGCAGGGGGAAACTCCCATTTGACAGGGATCCTATTAAACCAGCAGATTAAAACTACCACCAAAATTTTATTTTGGCTAGTTCTTTTATATAACGGTTCTGTTCGCAATATCAAATGCCAATTTTTTAAAAAATCAAGAAAATGGGAAAAAAAATAAAAGGGGTGTGCAGTGAGAAAAGGGGGAAATACCGTTCCCGCACACTTTTACCCTTTTTATGAACCCATAAGGAAGGGGGGGAAAATTTTAGTCTGATTCGTAAATACAGTCTGTTAAGCATCAAATTCCCTTTTAAAAATTTTACAAAAACAAATAGTTTAAAGGGGATCGGGCCCAAAAGTATCAGGCGTTGGGGCTTTGGGATACACAATGACACAAATTGGGCCCCGGAAGTAGGAAGAACGCCCTCAAAAGAAATGAATTAAAACAGTGCCAAAAAAGGGTTTTTCAGGGCCCCCGGGGCCTTTGAGTTCCAGAATATCATAGTTTAACCAAAAATCTCCCCGGGGCAGTTTGATCGACCTTTTGGTTAAGGGATTATCTAAATTTATACTCGGGAAAGAGGGAATCACTCTTTATCAATATTTTGGGTCATAAATTAATCAGTTTCAAAATTTCTTCAGAAGTAATCTCAAAATTTTTTCTAAAGAGATGGAAGGCTTTTATGCCTGGATTTTTGGGCCCGTCCCTTTTTGAGGGCATTTGCTTTTTCAAGAGGGGAAAAAGGGTGACAACAAATTTCCAGTCTTTTTTCCCGGGTTTTTTTTATTTTTTAAAAATTTTTCCCAAACCAAACTCAAAGGGGTGGAAAAATATTTTAACCCTAACAAACGTTCCCCTTCCTGTTTTCCTAAGTTCTTTCCTTTCTATTTTCCCTTTCATTTGTTTAAAAGGGAACCTTGGGGAAAAAATTTTTGAAACAGGGGCTGGGGTTTTTACATTCACGGTATGCTTTTTCCAATCCCCTACTGCATGTGTTAATTGCGCACGGGATCCTTATAGTATTTTTCATTGGGTTTTTTTTTTTATTTTTTAAAAAGGAAGGGGTTTTTGTTTTCCCCCTTTTCCCGCCCACTTGATCTGTAGAACACTCTCAAAATGGGAATTAAATTTTTGTGTGCCCCAAAGGGCTCGGGAATTTTTTATAACCCTTGATCCAAAAGGGTTTTAAAAAAGTTGTCCCCCTTTTGTTCTGGTTTGAGAATAAATTTTCCCCCCTCCGTATTTAGCTCCCCTTTAAATTTCGGAGAAAGTGATCAAGAAATTTACAGGTTTTTATCTTGGGAAGTGATCAGATAAAAAGATCATCAAAAAGACGAAATCATGCAATCGTAATAAAGTATTAAAACCAATACACAGATCTAAATATTTCCACCATATATGTGGGTAGGGTCAGAGTGCCCACAATTCGAAAAATTTTTCATGCCCCATTTAGCAATCCATAGTTTTTGTTTTCCCTTGGTTTTTTTGTTAAGACCCACCAATATTCTTATGTCTGGGATTAAAAAATTTTCCCAAAAATGATGGTAAAGGGTTTACTATTGAAAGCCCCATCTGGAAAAACTCAGGTCGAAGCGGTTTTGCTGGGCATAGAGATTAAAAATGTTTTTTTGAAAAAAACTTTCCCGCATATACATTGGGCACCAGAACTTTCATGTTAACTCCCACTCTGCAAGGGAAAGGGGTGAATGGGGGCAAGCTCTTTCTGACAAACATCCCCACAACAGTTGGGTTTTCCTTAGGTTATAAGCTGCATATCCAGGCAAGTTTGGTGGAGGTGCTCCATCTTTCAATCTACATTCCTGCAAACAGATGACATCAATATTCTTGGTTGCACTAATATGATGTAAGTCAGGCAACCGCTTCCTGATGGAAGCAATGTTCCATGAAAAGATTTGTAATGTATCCATTGTAGTGAGTTATTACAATCTCTTGCTCATAAGATGGTAAAACTATTATGCTTTGACTACAGTGTGCAGATACTTAAGAGCAAATAGCATAGTTTGTACGTCTTTATCTTCAGGACCTTTATTTTTAAGCATTTTTCGGCCTTGAGAAAAATATACCATTGCAAAAATTTTCAACTTGATTTGGAAATACGTTCCACAAATAATCCACACTTAGGAAACTGAAGCTTAGGACGACGTTTCGGTCTGACTTAGCCCATTAATCAGTCACACTGAAACAAGAGGGAACTAGGCCAGAATATAACGGAAAGTGGGCGGTGGAAGAGTGGTAGAACGGGAGAAAGTAGTAGTAGTTGTAATAGTGGTAGAAGTGGTGCAGCAGTGATAAAGGTAGAAATATGAAAGTAGCATTAGAAGCAATAGCAGTGGTAAAGGGGGAAAATTAATGGTGGCAGTGTGTAGTATTGCTAAGTAAAAGGACACAAATGCAACTAATGTGACATTTTATTGTGGCAATGTTTCGCTTGATAAAGCTCCTGGAGAGCGAAACGTTGCTACAATAAAATGTCACGTTAGTTGTATTTGTGTTGTTTTACTTGGTATATTGTCGGTAAGTTTACCAATATTAATACAGTGTGTAGTATTAGTAAAGAAAGAGTAACAGTGGAGGTGGTCCATAACTAAAGAACAGAGCACTGCAGGATAACTACTTGCCCACAGACACAGCACAGAATTCCTCTAAGTGAGAAAAAACCTGTGGGACAAAACCTCCTAAAGGACAGAAAAAAAATGGTTCAAAACCCCGTATGGGACGAAACCCCCGTGGGACAAAATCCTCATGTGACAGGAATGAGAAAGGAAGGCATCTGCAGAGACGTTTACCAGGAATAGGGTTCATATTAGGAATGTTATCTATAAATGATGCTTTGACAAGACGGCGTCTGTGAAGGCAAGAAGGGTAGACAGTTTTGGCAGAAGACCAGTTGATACGACTGTGGTCTCTAACATGGCAGAAAAGAACATTGTTACCGTCGGCAAGTCTAATACTTATGTGCTTTTTAAGTCCGTCAGAAAAAGAGCGAACAGTGTCATCAAAGTATAAGAGAGGACTGGAGGAGCAGGAAATGGAGTAGACTGGAGGCATCAGTTGCAGGAGATTGTCCCTCGCCTGTGAGCCAGTAGCTCTCCTCGGTGCTCTTCTATTCTCTTGGTCGTATGCCCATTATTTTTCCAAATTTTTACTAGTACTGTATTACTACCACCACTATTACTACTATTGCTACCGACACATATTGCTATTATTAGTATCACTACTATTACTACGACTAATCCCGTTCTACGCCTCCCTTCTGCCCGCTTTCGTTTATATTCTGGTCTCTCTCTCCTCGCTTCAGTGTGACTGGCTAATTAATGATCAAAATCGGTTCGTAACGTCGTAATAAATTTCTAAGTGAGAAGTTATTTGTCTAATGTCACAGCTACCTATCATGACTTTATTCTTTTGAATGGCATTCTTCAGATATCAAAGAAAAATCGTTAATCTTCAAATATGCCAATAAACTGAAAAGGTTGCACCTACAAAACATGCAAAGGTACAGAAATTTTTTTGTGCTAATATATACTTCCGAATTCCTCCATCAACCTTCATAACTCTCTTTAGAATCTCCCGTAAGAGCAGTGTCATCAACAAGGAGCTACTGTCACAACTCCCTCCTTATATCTAACTCGTTTTCTTTTGATCTCACAACTCGTTACAGTACCTTAATCTCCCCTCAAGGGAGGTTCCTTGATGTTGGTGAGGGGCTCTTGATTTAGGGAATTGGATCTGTGCTCCAGTTCCCCAAATTAAGCCTGAATGCCTTCCACATCCCCCCCCCCCCCAGGCGCTGTATAATCCTCCGGGTTTAGCGCTTCCCCCTTGATTGTAATAATAATAATACAGTACCTTAACATTTACTTCTTTTACAACCCCATTCATAAACATGTTAAACAACCATGGCGACATAACACACCCATTAGATATACTTTTATTGAAAAATAATCCCCTCTCCTACCCTAAGACTCATTATTAGCTTATGTGTTTTTACTACTTCTAGTAACCTACCACCTTTTCCATACATTTGCAACATTTGCCACATTGCATCCTTATCCACTATGTCATATGTTTTTCTAAAGCCTTTATTGGGACAAAAATTTCCTTGTACAAAAGAACGATACATGTTCTCTGGCAATATCTAGTTATCTTTGATGCATATATTGAACAATTACATGAACTACTCCAAAACTATATTTCCACCCGTTTTAAAATTTATTTAAGGCATTCTATCCCAGCTGCTTTACCCACTTTTTGTACTTACTCGTGCACTCTACCCCTTCTACCCCCCTCACACGGCATTCTTCCTTGCTCCTACACGATGATGTACCTCCCAGCTCACTGCATGAAGCCACTGTTAAGCTTTCATCAACATTTAACAACTAAAAACATTGCCTTCATCTACTCAGTTCCCATCTAACATCTTCCTGCTTTATTTTTTAACTTCTTATTAATCTCACTCCACACTTTTTCTTATTCTCAGCAAAATTTGTTGCTGAATCCTCACCCACTCTTGCAATGACTTCTTTTTCATTCCCCCGTCACTACTTATAAACTTTTTCTCCATATACTCTGCCCTCTGTACATCACTACTACATGTCTTCTCCCTTAACGCCATCTTTACCTCATTCCACTACCCATTCCCACCCTTCTGCACCCGCAAGTGTCTGTTGTGTATTGCAGTCTTAAATCTACCTCTCTACATCTCCCATCCTGTCCTCGCTTCCTGTACTCTCTCCAGCGCACCGTTCTCCCAGTAGCTGTTTATACTGTATCCCAATGATTTCTTCCTTTAATTTATTCCTTTTACCTCCTTACCCACTGACGATATTTTTCTTGTACCCCATCTAATCTGCACATCCAGGAGTCTACACTCTTACTCTGCCAACAAACTGCTGTTATTGCGCCATATATCATATCTTGCATATACATAATTTTTTTTTCTTAGTGTATTTCCTATTACTAAACTTTTTTACACACAATCAAATTAGGGCCCCCCTACAATGATGTACCACTAGAATAAACTTAAATTCTACTCCTCCTCCAACAGTTTCTCCCACTTAACGTTTAGGTTCCATAAAATAACGAACAACTGGTTTGAGACCCCAAAACATTCGCTTAACACCTCCCAAAATCAGTCTCATCAGTCTCTTCTACACTCCTCTCCCCCGAGTACATAAACGTTTACTATGCTTACTCTTTTCACAGGCAACTCTTATTCTCATCCACATAATTATTTAATCTGAACATTTACAAATTTTTCCTTCCATAGCTGATTATTTAATTTCATAGCTGTCCCTTTCTAGTTCTAGTTCTTTCCGATACTCAAAATTTAACCCATATACTCAACATTGAAATTTCCCAACCCCTTAGCTTCGTTTGGTTTAGTGCTGGGTCATCACCTGTTTTCTTTCACATAAATACTAATCGGTTCCTTATTCTCATCTGTACTACACAGAGTCCATAATTCCCGACATTTTAATCATCTTTTCCGCTTCAAGGGATGCTCCTTGACGTTGCGAAGAGGCTCTTGGTCTAAGGAAATAAACCCTTTTGTATCCCTCCTCAGACCGAACATAAATACCCCCAGTCCTCCCTTCCCTATCCCATCCACCTCCTCCCCCTCCCCCCTTTCCTCCCTCTTTCCAACTCTCTCTCCCCCCCTTCCTAGCCCTCCCTTTTCCCCATCCTGTTTGTAGTCTCTGGGGTTCTCCACTCTGTCATTACGGTTTCTGTGGAGAAATTTTCTTCAGGAGTGGGGGAGTATCAGCCCCTTCCAGCCCTTTTCATGCCATGCTTGACTCATTTCTAGAGGCAAGTTCTCATCCATCCGATTTTGAGTTTCCATGCATCTTGCGCAAACATTTTACCTTTTATGGTAATTGGTGAGACGAGCCCTAGAGGATCAAAACATTGTGATACCTCTGACAGTAAACTACGTTTGGTGAGTGTACTGCATGATTTATTATTTATCCTATTGAGACTTAGTGTCTTCCTGTGTGTTCCAATTTAGTTCAAGCATATTGTTGCAATCAGGAATTTCAGCTTCAGGGAAATCTTCTTTAATAAGTTCCCTTAATTGTGTTGAATTAGCATTCCACATCCATAGAGGCATATTTGCTTCTTTCATCTCTTTGTTAGCTTCTCTGTATAAGGATTTCAAATCCTCCTCTTTATTCACAGTACCTTGAAGATTGTCCACATAGAAACTTTCCTTTAAGATTTCTTTGAAGGGACTTTCAGATTTCTTCAAATGTGTATTTAGAGTAGCTTCTAGTAAGAATGGAGAGGATGTTGCACCAAATAATACTGATTTGAAATGATAAGTTTTCACAGGACTTTGAGGATCATGTGAATTTTCAGGCCACAAGAATCGAGTATAATCTTTCTTGTAGTCCTACTCTTAAGAAAGCTTTGGAAATATCAGCCGTGTAGGCATATGGGTTTGTGCGAAATTTCATAAGCGTCTCCAATCTTCTCAGTTAGTGAGGGTCCGGTCATCAGATAGTCATTAAGACTTGCTACCTCTTTATTTGCACGTGCGCTGCAATTGTATACAACACGTAGTGGAGTGGTTTCAGAATCTTTTCTGACTCCATGGTGCGGGAGATAATGAGCTTCTGTCTTCAACTTGTCTTCGACTACTTCCTCAATGAATTTATTGTCCAACTGTTCTTGTGTGATATTATCATAGACAGTAGCTCTGGATTCTTCCTGAGCTCATGTATTTGTGCTTGCATTTGTTTGAAAGCCATGCGATAATTGCTAGATGTGGTGGATTTAATTTCCATGGTAACTTAACCCAATACTGTCCATCATTATATTTGACAGAGTCCAAATATTGGTTATAAGTCTGAGACTCTTGTGGGCTTCGTTTATTTACATTAATACCTATCGTGTCTAAATTCCACAGCTTATCAACTGGTTCATTCATTTCTTCCAGTAAGGATAATTTTTGCTGTGGTACATGATAAGAGGTTATTCTCGTAACTAGTACATTTTCCACTGAACCAATATCAGTTTCTTTCCCACTTTGAGAGGGAATTGGACCACATATCATATGGCCTCCTGCGGTTTTCAGCAAGTTTACATAATGTTTACTTATTATATTTTGCACAAAGCAGTGATAATCATTGCCGGTGATTAAATCAGTTGGACTAATTGTGTCCATCTGTATATAAGGACAGGCTAACTTGACCTTGGGTGCTTTCAGTGATGCAACTGATTCTTTTAATACCTGAATCTGCACAAACTTAGGCAAATCATCTACTACCACAGCCTCTACGGTCTTTTCCCTGTTTCCTAGACCTTCAGTGATTCTGGTTAGGTCATGTGTCTATTTACCAGAACTTTGGAAAAAAAAAGAAGTATCTAACTGTATTTTGGCATGGGTTTGTTTGTTCAGTTTATGTAACACTATACTCTTATGAAGTCTGGAGACGCCCTGCTCCCTTCCTGGATTTCTGAGAGGTGGACTAGGTGCCCTGAAAGTGACGGGTGTATCTCCAGAGGCTGCCTGTCGGTTCTGGGAGGTGGCAGCCAAAGGAGGTATGCTTTGTGGCGGGTTTCCAACTACCCTCTCTTTTTTTGCACTGAGGTGGCTCGGTAGATGTGAGGTTGCTATCCCAGAGCACTGGTTTACTGGCATGAAGGGTAGGGTATGGCACGGGTTTCATGCTGCATCTGCACTACTTGCAGGCTCGAGGTCCTCTCGGATGAGGAAGGGGGGTGGGAAGAACTTACGGCCCTTTCATGCTTTCTAGTGACTGTCCTTCTGCTGTCCTTTTTTTCTATAAAATAATAAGAAATAAGTACCACATCATGGAGTCTTCTTTCCATGATGACTCTTCCTTCCAGGGCCCTTTTTGGTTCCTGCATCCTGTTCTGACCCGGCTTCGTTATTGGACCATTCTCTTGATTCTTCCCATACCCCTGTACCTTCTGCTGGTGATGCTTCATCACCTGCTCCAGGTGCTGGGGCTCCGCCTGTTTCTGTTAATGCT